TCAAAAAACTAAAGTAAATATGAGTCAATAATATTTATTACAAATTCATTAAAAGTTTTTTATGAGTTTAGAAAAGTAAAGTTAACTACGCTGACTATTCCCATTCTCTTGATGAAATTTTTAACGATATGAAGTTACCCGTGTATTTTTTATTCACATTGCGTTAACAAAAAGCTGTTCAAACAATATATCAAGACGTTTCTCATGATATTTCCATCTGTCTCTCAGTAGCGTAATATATTATTTAACTGAATTTTGAAAAGATATGATAAATTTATATTCAAAATAGTATATGATCATAGAATAAACTCTTAAACTTAGATAATTGCTGTACATTTTTGTTTTCTACTGATGATTAAAAGAAAATAAAACTCATTAACCTTAAAGTGATAAAAAAACCGATTCAGATGAATAAACAAATATTACGGTAATATTATTCTTCGATGACTTTTTCCCATGACGAAAATAATTCTTTTAGATTTCAGACTTATTAGTTCTCTAATTATATTTTGATCATTTTGATGCAATGATTAATACGAGATGTGCGGTATGAAAATCGGTTAACATGGACTAGAAAACATAAAAGGTCCTGTTTTTGAAGTTATCTATTTGTTTTATCGTTTAAAAAAGTCTGCGATAACATTAAAGAGCATTTTTTAATTAAATAAAATATACTCTTTCTTATTTTATGTTTGCAAACGTAAATTTAACATCAACGAAAAATACAATGTCATTTTGTGTCTAGAGATAAAGGGTGTGGGTGTGAGTGTGAGTGTAGATGTGGGTGGAGCTGGGTGTGTGTGTGTGAAGTTGGGTAAGGTGCGGGTGTGGTTGTGAGTGTGTAGGATGCAGGTGGTGTTTAAGAATATATCAATCTTCACGTTCAATCTCACACCCCACACCTACACCTACATACCAAAACGGTGAAAAATGGCATTTGTTTTCTCATCGTTTTAGGCAGTTTAGGACATAGTTTCGATTGGTCGGAATGATCGTCTTGGAATCATTCAACTCGAAGAGTCGTATGGGATAACCGGAAATTAAACAAATATTATGCAGTGAAAATTGTTGACCTTTTCATATCATCCGTTGTGTCAGAATCAACAAGTAATCTTAACATGAAAGAAAAGAAAAAACATTTTTTTTTTATAAAACATCGATCCCCAGTCAAGTGCTGAAGTACAACGATTACGATATAAACTTTAAATAAATGACATTGATTGGCTACAGCAAGTTAATGCTTTACAAGAAAATAACAAAAAATTTAAGAAGTCTTCTTTTACTTGAAATTGATTTTACGATGAAATCATTATTAACTGAAATGATTGAATCAATTAGAAGGAAACTTGATGATTATAGAGAAAGTTACGAAGAATAAATGAATAAGAAGGACAATTTGAACTAATCCAGGTCGATTATTCCGACCGTCGGAAACGGCTATAAAACGACAAAGTACGGCATTAATATTGACCTTACTTCGCCGTAATCCGTCATACCGTTTTACGAGACTTTTTTATCGCTAGAAAACGGCATGACGGAATGCGGTGCCATTGTTCGATGCTTTACATGGTTATTACGATGTTTAAGGCCATTTACGCACCGTTTTCTTGGACCTGGGGTGTCATTTTTGTGTGTTATATATATTGTATTTTGTCTTCGATTCTATGAGTTTTTTAAAGGGCTTGGATCAAACTAATTTGTCTGTATTTTTGTCTATAAGAAAACAATATATTAGATCAATTAATAATAAATAATCATTATGTCATTTTCTTGAGGAAAAACAGCTTCGTATATTTAATTTTGGAATATGGATCTAAAGATTTTTGTATCATATTTCTCCCAGTAATATTCAATGCGATTCACGATAACAAAAATTTAAGTATGTGGAATTTAATTTATATAATTTGTTTGATTTTTATAACATTTGCATGATGAAGTTCAAAGTTCTCTAAAGCTGTTTTTTTCTAAGAGGATTTTTTCGATTGATTTTTTAATAACTTTAGTTGTAGGTTGGTAATTTCAGATGCTTGATCCAGTGTTTCTTTGCAAAATACAATGTAGTTACGTCATTTATGGTGTGGATGTAAGTGCGAATGACCATGACTATATTCATTCACACTCACATTATATACTCACGTCTATATCCACACCGACACCCTGACCTCGAATATCATATCATGAATAATTTCCTTGAAGAAATAGTTGATTCATGTGAAAAACACAATTTTTATTTTTACTCGTGATGAATTGAGCTTTATAATAAATACTAAAACATGCAATATGGCCACGAAAAAAAACAATACGTAAAACTAGACATATTAAAAAAAGCAAACCCTAATGCACAAAATACACATAAACAAAACAACAAGTATCTGAGATCATAAAAAAAACAAAAACGTAACTCCTGAGACAAGATTATTACAAATTTGATTTCAATATATTTAAATAAGATCATCTGACTGACAAATATATTTCATAAGATAATAAAGTGCAAAAATGACACGTTCATTATCTTCATTTATCTGAATATGTCGTAATGATTGTATTTTATTCCAAAATAGATTAAGTAATTTAATACGCTGCATTGATAGATTATTATCTATATCAATATTAGGAAATTGAAATATTTGATTAGATAAATAACGATAAGATATATTTTCAAATGTTGAAAGATTATTAAATATTGGTAATGCTGAAGAATCAAATAATTTATTAGCTAAATTTTTAATAAATTGTTCAATTGTTTCATATTCATTTATAACTGATGATGTTGTTGTTACAATAATAGGTATTGTTGAATGACTAGCTATAAGAAAATGATCAAATGTTATTATTGTATGAGTTGAATTATGAGAAAATTCATCAAGAATTTGTAAAAGTAAAAAATAAATTGATTCATTAGTTAAAATTTTTGATAATTGATGTTGATGAAGAAATGATTTTAATGTTTGAAAACGAGCTACTGGAAGATTATGTTTATATTCATCAATAATTATTCGAAGATCAGATGTTATACGTTCAATCGTTAATTTAATTGTTTTATCAAATATTGTTACTTGTGAAAGATTTTTTTCAATAGGTGATACAGCTGTTAGATAAGTTGATTCTTTCATTGTTGAATTATTTAATAAATGACTATCATATTCATTACTTGATTGCGTTGATGATGATGTTGTTGATGCAATTGATGAACCATAATTAGATTGTACAGTTGAAATAGTTGGAAAATGATATGGTTTATTATTAATAGTTAATTTTGATTCACGATTAGATAATGAATGTTGACGTCGAGCAATGTTTAAGGCTATAAAAAAAAACAGAAATATTGATTTATCCTCATTATTAATATTAAAGAAAGTTTTTGTATAGGAAATTCAATAATTATTGACTAATCGTATTTTGTTTTCGGAATTAGATTTTTGGTTATGTCTCTTCTACAGTACTTGTCAAAAATATAAGACCAACATAATTTTGCACTTATTTTTTTACTATAACAAGTATTTTATTTATATTCAAATAATGGTTTTAATAGTCAATGACGTTCTCTATCCACTGAAATTTTCTAGATGAATTATGAATGAAAAATTTTTCCAAAAAAAATAACAAAAATCATAGTTTTCAGATCCCTGAAACTTAGAAATTACTCTGTTTGGTTTTTCAGCACTTTTCTCCCGTAATCTATCTATGAAATTTCGGTGAATAGAGAACTTCACTAGTTGTTTAAACCATTATTTGGATATAAATCAAATGCTTGTTATCGTGAAGAAAAGTACAAAATGAACTTGATCTTGTATCTTTGACTAGTACTATATTATTATTATATAACGATTAATATGATGACAATCGTTCTTCATTTTTATGAAACATGATCTAAAAGAAGTGTTGAAGTATATAGAGTAAAAATTTGGATCCAGCACCTTTCCCCAACAGATTATGACATATATTCTGTGCCTAGTAACAGTAGCTACATTATGCTGCACATTTTCAATTTCATAGGAATTACACTAACAGCTATTGTACCTTCATTTAATGTTAGTTTATTGATTTCAGGTAAAACACGAATTCTTGGTTGTGGATTTTGATTATTCAATATTGGACTTGAAATCTAGAAGAAGAATAATAATAAAAATATTTTATTTAAAAATTAAATTATTAGATATACATTTGATTTATTTGATTCAGTCGTTGATTCATTTGAAACAATTGGAGATGGATTTGATTTTTTTACTTTAAACCACCATAATTTTGATATTGTATTATGATTATTATTATTAGTATCAGTTATATCTGTTTTTTTCAAACATTCATCAGCATTACTTTTACTTTTTTTTAATAAATTAATTTTTTTTTGTTTTTTTGTTGTTATTTGTTTTGTTCTTAAATCAGGTCCAATAAGAACAATACCTTGTGTATTAATCATGGATTGATTTTGTATAAATTCAATAGGTGTTGTCTGTTTTATTAAATCTTGTTCTTCATCAGTAAATGAATCATCATCATCATCATCATTATTATTATTAATATTATTATTTTCATTCGATGTTGGTAAACATTCAATAACAGATGTTGATTGTAATGTATTTCTATCTGTTGTATTTATTGTAAAATATTGTGCCATAATTTCTTCATAAAGATGCATTGTTGATGATGATGATGGTAAATCATTAGATTTATTTGATATTAAATGTTCACATTTATTTTCATTTATATCAATTATTTGATGACCTGAACGATTTTGATGACAATTTGTACATAATAATGGTTTCCATGGATTAGCTTGAAATAGATCACACATTACTTTTTTTTTTTGATTTTCTAAAATTAAAAAATTTCAATTATATAATTGTTATTTTTATTAGATGTTAATCAAATAAGAAAAAAAAATAATCTTTTTTATAAGATTAATATACAAAGGAAAAAATAAATTGCAACAAAACGATACACAGTCAAAACACACACACAGATATAGATATGAAGTTTAAATAAATGTTTATTTTTTTTTATAGCATTTCCTAAAAAAAGAAATTTCTTGTTGATTAAAGAAATAAAGAGATTTGTTTTTTTGAACATACCAATTTTTCTGGTATAGGAATACCCATAAATTTTTTATAAGTATCTCGAACTTTTCTTAAAAATTCATTTTTACTTTCATTTGTTATACTTTCTAATTTCCATCGAAATTGTTTTGTTTCTGATTCATCAACAAAATCAAAAACTAATAATTTTTGATGATTTAAATAATTGGTCTTTCATTAAAAAAAAAAAAAAAAAAGAAAACAACATGAAGAATATTTAATTAAATAGAAAAATAACTTACCACATTAACTAAATGCATAAGATCACATTTTAATTGTTGATTTGTACCTGATTCTGATGTTAATTGAGCAGGTAAACGAACATGACGTGAATCAATTGTTGCATATGCATCTTCAATCATTAATATCCAATTTTGTAGAAGTAATAAAGCAATCATTTGACTATTACCAGCTTCAATAAATAAAAACAACAATAACAAGATTTAAATCATTTGAATACGATACACTATTATCATAAACACTGGTATGAAGTATAATTTGTTTGTAATTAGTACTTGAAAATCTTAGTTTATCTCTTTAGTGTTTATTCAAGTTTTTCACAGATACTATAGAACGACTCTACTGATATTTGCCTTCACTGGAAAATTGATAGACCAACTCTATCAAAATATATCTTTTTTTTTGTAACAGTCTGTTATAATGCTCTGATCTTTACTTTCTTTCTATGTATTTCAAAGCTTAAAAATTTCTCTTATTAAAATTTCAACTAACTTTGATCCATTCGAATCATAGTTGAATAAAAATCAATCATATCATCATTTGGTTCATTGATATTACATTCAATTTTAATAATGTCAAATAAACGTTGTCGATATTCATCTGAACTAATACGACTAATCTTTTGTAATGCACCTTCACCACTTTGAACAATAGGTGAAAGAACTTCTATAATAATTATAAAAAAATGAAATATCAAAGATTAAATATAATTTATTTAAAAATTTTCTTCTAAAATATTTTTTTTTACCTAGAATATGATTAATAATTTTTTGTGTTTTTTGTTGATCAGCAAGAATAAAAGCAAATGCAGCTGATTGTAATTCAATTGTAAATGTTTGTAAACGATAACCAATATCAAGCATAAGTACATTTGTTAAAAGATCTTTACCAACAAGAATATATTCGGATTCTATATCATTATTTGGTCTATGAAAACAAAAGTCAATAAATAATTCAATATTATTCAAAATTTAATATTTAACATACGCTTCATATTGAAATATATAAATACCATAATCTGTTAGAACAGTTTGAGCAATAAAATATTTACTTGTTGTTGAACGAACAACAAAACACTGCGGAAAAAAAAAACAAATACAAAAAAAAATTGAAACATTTTCTTTTATTTACTTTAAAATGTAGTTTTATTTGTTCATTATTATGTGTAAAATGTTCTGTAGCTAAATGAAAATGTAAACGATGATCAAGTTCAACTGCATCCGACGATATGTCAATAGATATTTTTGATTGTGTTTCATCTTCAAATCTAATGCATATATATATGCATAAACAATTAGAGTTAAATATTCAACAATAATATAATTACACAGGTGGTAATGTTATTGCTGTAGTTTGACAATTTGAACAAACATAAGATGATGTATTTTCTAGAAAAAAAGAGAAACTATGTTTTAGTTCGATTATTCAGAATGAGTATAGAGAAGAATAAATAGAAAAAAAAATATGATTTAGTATACTTCCGAACTAGATTTGATTATGTCAGAATTCTTTTTACTTGATAATATTTTATCAAACTTTCTTTAAATTAGACTTGACCTCACACTTCAAATAAAACTTGTCGGGTCTGGATTCATAATGAGCTTGATATACTTCAAATATAGTATTTAATAAATGAAGACAGAACACAATTACTTTCTTATGATAACCTTGATAGATAAGCAACCATAGAACTCATTGCATGTCTTACATCAGCAACACATTTCAAGAGAGGCGCAATAATTCTTAAGAACTTTTTGTCTTGTTTCCTTAATAGGATATACTGTTCAATCAACAAAGTGTACTGTTTTGTAACTGTTGATATGATACGTAAATTGAATGCTATGATTGTATATCTATCAACGAGATAAAGAATATTAATACTATCGTAAGAAACTAGTTACATCCAATATCTAGTATTCATAATGATAATTAAATTCATATAATAGAGTAAAGAATAGTATTGTTCTGTTTTTTTTTTCTATGGAATTTTTAGTCAACTTCAAATAACCTTGAAATATGAAAATCTTCTGTCTAAAAATCTTAAGTCGGATTAATAGTCTAATTAAGATATGTGAAGTAATTTATATTATTTTTTTTTAATGGTAAATATTTCTGGTTCTGGAATAGAAAGTGGGGTCAAAAATGATTGATTTCACACATGTCTACATATATATCACGCAAAGATTTAACTAGATGATTTATGAACCAATTAACTTCAAATTCTCAATATGATTCTCCTGTTTTCTCTTTGTACTAACCAGCATTGTTCATTGTGGTGAATTCAGGAAAGCTTCGGCCACATTTTGTACACTAAATTAAAAGAAAAGCTAATGAATTTGGTTGTTTTTTTTTAATCTAAATTATTTTTCAAACCTCAACTAATGATGATGAAGTAGTTTTTATATCAGCTGACATAGGTAATTCAAGATGCCGTTCAATTTCTTCAACAAATGCCTAAAAATATTTATAAATTAAACATGACAGAAAAAATCTAATATTTTATTTATTTAGAACTTTTTGATCGTGTATTGTATCAAATAAATATATTCTTCGTTCAACTTCACCTCTTCGTTTTTCAAATGTAAATTCAACAGTTTTTTGAATACTACAAATAAAAGTACCGTTATAAAATTGTATATAATTATTTTTTAATATTTTAAACCTTTCATTATTAGTTAAAAGTTTAATTGTTGAATATTTAAGTTTTTCTATATAATATTTATCATTATTATCTTTTTCAATTAAATACATTCGATCAATTTCAATTGTAAATGAACGATTATTATTCTCGAATGTTTGATCAGTAACAAAAAATATTGTTCGTATACTATCTGAACAACTAAATGAATATAAACATGTAGTATATTCATTAAAATAAATTAAAAAAAAAAAAATTATTTCTATACCGCCAGTATTATTTTCTTCATTAGTAATTAATTCTATTTCATGTTTAGGTATAATTGTTGTTGAATATTTTGCATTAAATGAAATTTCTTTTTCTGATGGTGATGAATCTGGTATTGGTGTTGCATCCGATAGTGTATTTTGAAAATCAACAACTTCTAAGATAATTTTTGTTGGTTGATCTGATTTACGAGAACGAGGACTTTTTCGTCGTTTTGGAGACTATTGATTTAGATTATTATTTCTTTTTCTTTTTTTTGTTATTTTTAAATTTAAATCTTACTTTTGATAAATCATTTGCTAATTTACGTGGAATACTACTTGCAATAGATGTTGATGGTGGTGATTTTAACATCGTATCATCATGTTCAACTATTGCTGTTGTATAAGTATTTTCGACAGGTAATGATAATTGTGATGTAAGATAATTATGTTCAACTTCATGACGTGATTCAACTAGTTTTCCCAAATGACGTCTCTGTACAGCTGATTCATTTTCTGAACCGGATGTAGCTAAAAAAAACGAAAGGATATCATAGAATCCATGAAGAAAAACAAAACGAAGCGATTTTATTTACCATGTTCTGTTGGTGTTTCATCATTATCAAGTGATTTTAAATGTCCATCTCGAAGTTTTCGACGAGATCGACTAGATTTAATATTAAAGATAGATTAAATAATTAAATAAAAGAAAAAATAAATAAAATAGTTGTAATTTCTTAAATAAGTCGATTAAATTTTTATGTAAACTTTTTCAAGATCCAGACCAAAACAAAAAAAATCGATATAGTCTCAAACGATATCGTACTTTCAGAAATCTCTCAAGACTCTAATAATACCAATTATTGTATGATTTCTAAGACAACAAGTGTAAGTTGTTTTCCTTTGTGTCAGATAATCTAACGAAAATCTCAATAATAATTTCAACTTTATTTATACTAATTGCATAAGAACAGTATGTGTCTATTTCTAGAAAATTCAAATGAAATACTTATGGAAAATGTTCTATAGAAATTCAATTCAATGCTTTAAGATATAAGTGCAAGAGATTGATTTGAATACATAAAAAATATAGAAGTAATGTTTTATAGTTTTTGTATTGCATACGGAAATTCATTTCTATTATATATATACTTTTCTAGTAAAAATCAATTTTCTGACTCAAGTCAACTTAAAAACATAAAGATATTATTTCTATATCCTTTTCATAACAAAATGAATATCTTGATCTAATCAAATGTCAAAGTAGAGATCGAATTTCTTCAACTGAACATATATAAAAATGAACTTTTAGTTATGCATCATTGATATTTAATCTAAACGCTTACAGCTTTATTGCTCGATCTCTATCATCCGTTATATAATGATGTGTAGAAATGTGAATTTAATATGTTCTTCTCTTCATAACTTCTACAGGGTGAGTCAAAAGTCACTTTACCGTAAAAAAATTAATATCTGTGCCATACCTTGATCAAGTGGATTGAATTTCTTTTACTGTCAATAAACGAATATTTGTTGTTCATATCCATAGACGAAACAGTCGAAAAGAAATGTTTTGAAGCATCACTATTAGTTTCAACAACAAAAAAAAACTCTTCCGTCTCAAGCATTACGAATAAGCAGCGCAGCGATGAACGATCTCATTGTCAAAACAAAGCGTTAATAATTGAATCACATTTTTAGCTATCATATAGTGTTACACTGTTATTTAGATATGTTTTCCTTCATCTATTCTCCTAGACCACATGAGTTGTACTCACCATACATATCTTCTTCTTTCTTATGCAGCCGGATATACTTGAACTCGTTCTCGCCCTCTGTATGCTTATTTAATGTCTTTTCTTCTTGCGTCATTCAACGTGTCCTTTATCCATCATCTTCTGTTCAGTTTGTTAGCTCTTTTCAAAGCTTATATAACTGTAAATGCACAGATAGGCGTAGGTTCAGTTAGAAGGCAAGACATTCTTCCGTATTGTTTTTTCTTACTGACTATAATAGGATAGAATATTTTTGTTGCAATCAATACTGATGCTTCCAAATGGTTCTTCCCAACATTTTTTTCCCTATGGATATCGACAATTCTTTATCATTAGTAGAAAAAAAAAACATCAGCATCAAGTTATAATGAAGATATTCAATTAAGTTCTCGATATTATCTAATCTAAGAATTTAAAAAATTTGTTGTTCTACTATGATATTCATTCGTAGTATATGTGTAAAGTCCGTTGGTTTAGTCTTAGACTTGATGGGTTCTATTTGTGTGAAGTTATGATTTAATTTCATTTATTATCTAATATTACCGTCGAGAAACAATTGTTCCGGATGAATTTGTTACAACAGATTCTGGTTCTGTTGTTGATTCACTTGTTGTTGTATTTTGTGATGATGATAATATTGGTGTATTAAATCTAAAACCTTGAGCACGATTTGATGGAGGATTACGTTTTCGTGGAATTCTCTTAAAAAAGAAAAAATAATAATAATAAAGAAATTCTAATTAATAAAAATATTTACTTGTTTCTCTTTTGTTGTAAGTTGTTCATTATCAATCATAAGCTAAATTGAAACAATAATAAATAAACAAAATAATTGAAAAATAAAACAAACTTCTCGAGTTTCTTGTGAAAATATAAATGGTAAATTATATATAATATTTTGTCGATAATTTGATGCATATGTAAATGGATTACGTGCAAAGTAGAGCTAATAGAACAAAAAAAAAGAAAAACGAACATATTTGAACTTCAACCATTTAAATGATTCATACTCGTTTTATCATTGGCATATGTTGAATTTGTTCAGGTATACGTGTTATAAAATTATCACTTAAATCTAATTCTTCAATTGATTTCATAAATTCAACACCTTAAAAAAAAGAAATTTTTTTTTGTTTAGTTTTAGTTTTTTTTTGTTTTATACCAGCTATGTCTTCAATAGAATTTTGACGTATTTTAAGTGTTAATAATCGACATGAACCTTTTGTTTCTAACCATATTGGTATAGTACGTAAATGATTAGATGATAGATTTAAATGTTTCACATCAGGTATTATCTATTAAAAGAAGAAGAATTTTATTAAAGAAAAAAAAAACAAAAAAAAAGAAAATTAATTTTTGTTTTTACTAACATCTAATATCTTTGAACAATCTTGTAATCGATTATGACTTAAATCAAGTACTTCAAGTGCAACTAAATGTTTCTAGAAAATTGAAAAATTTATTTTTCAAAATAAAGAAATAAATGTTTTTCTTACTAATGATTGATCAAGACATTCAATAAAATTATGAGCAAGAAAAAGTGATTTAAGTCGTGGCCATGCTTGAGGTTGTGTTGAATCTCCACCACAATCATTTATTAAATCCTTTTAATTTATTAAAAATAAATTAATTAAAATGAAAATATTGAAATAAAAATTTACTTCAATTTTTGTTACAGATTGAGAACATATTAATGTTTCAAGTTGATGACGAAGTAAAGATAAACCGAGTACCATATGTGGTGGAATCTTTTTTAATTCAAGACAAACAACCTGTTGAAATGGATATAGAAGAACATTTCCTTGAAGAGTTGGTGAATTATGAATTAACTAAATAGAAGAAATACAAATAATAATTATTAATATACTGTTCTGATATAATGAAGATAATTGAGTCAAATAGAATTTTTAAAGGCAAAAATGAAAGATGTTTTTATCAAAGATAAAGTTCAATAAATAACAAAAAATTCAAGTAATTATTTTCTATTATGAATTCACGTTAATATGAGTAAAACTTTTTATAATTGAAATCTATTCGCTTTTTATGAAACTGAGAGAATTAAATAATGAATTATATGATTTATGTCTTCTTGATTCTAAAACTTTATCAGTATTACGAAATAGACAGCAGTGATTTTTTGTTCCATCAATGAAGATTAATCTTCACCCTTCGAATTTTATTTGTCCAGTGATAGATCACTTCGTCAAATAACTCATTATCATAACTATTAAAACAAACAATCTCCTCTGTTTAATTGTGTTAGTTACAATCAAGTGTACCAATCAGTGAAGCTACGATCATACTGTGTGGTTCATTTCTGTAACTACAAATAACAGTTTGAAACAATTATCGATTATTGCGATATACATGAGGACTGAGTATCGTTGAGTACGATATCATCACTGAACTCAATGCGGCAGTTTCTTTTCGTGGTCGACGTCCGGACCAATCAAATAAATTTTAGTCAAACTTAGACACTGGGTTGAGCCGAATGCCAAGTACTCAACCTGATTGTAAGACTCTATTCTAAATAGAACACTACTGTTATTTTTATCGTATAAAAATAAGCTATATTATTTTATCCGATACGTGAGACTAGTTTGAAAAATTTTTACTGTATAAAACAGTTGTTATAATATGAAACTTCTTTACTATTTTCTAATATCAAATAGATGACTATATCAAATGAATTGGTTATCTATTTAATTCAATCAATGAATTTACTAATCACTAGAGATTGACGTGACCAATGGTCACGATAAACTTTTAATGTACCTATAGGACAACTATTTTTTTTTTATTTTCCTCGTCAGATGATAAAGAACTATAATCATTTGATTCGATACAATATACTTTTGTATACCACCAATCTGGTAAGTTGTTTGTTAATAGATCGACTTGATACAGCAAATAGATTTTTCACGACCATAGCCAAAAGATAATGATCACGTCAATATCTACTCATCACGCAAAATTCATTTACATTATCAACACTATTTATCAACAGTTAACAGTTGCTATCGGATTTGAGTATTAATCAAGTACACATTGTATTCAATACTCAATCAACATCTTTTACTACGTTCGCTTTATATGAATAGTACCTATACTAGTTTTATCAAACTGTTACAACTCGGTGGTTAAATATAATACCATATCGATCTCGAATTTCGATACTATATATATATAAAGAAGATATGACTGTTTGTGTTCTACATAATTTTGAAACAATTAAACAATGTTTTTAAAAGAAAATCTTTAATTTCATTCTTCACATACTTTAACGACTTGTATTTTTTGTAAAAAATCATGTAAAAATACTAAATCTTCTCGAAGTTTCGTATTAATTGTTAAATGTTGAACAGTTGGTAATGGTGGTAATGGTGGTAATGAATTTGTTCTTGGATGACCATTTACTAACGATAATGTTATATTAAGTTTAGCCGAATGAAAATAATTATTTAATAGAGTAAGTGAATCCGATGTAAAACACACTTTACTATCTCCATGTAAAACTCTATGTCCATTTGTACGTAGTAATTCAGCTAATTGATGAATAACTATAGCTGAAGAAGTAGTAGTATTAGACGATGATGGACGAGTAGTTGCCATCAAAATAACAAGAAACAAAACTTAAATAATATATCTTAAATAAATAAAAAAAGAAACCAAAAGATTTATTTTGTTCTGTCATGTTGAAAGACACATAGATAAAAGACAAGGCACAAAGATATTTTATTTTTTCTTATTATTATAACTTCATAGAAAAACACACACACACACAAAATTCCATTTCATAATATCACTAATATTCATCTTTGATGAATACTACTGTTAATATACTTATTAAAATTTTTCTATCTATAAAAATATATATATATATATTTACATTCATTTTAATCTTCATCATCAAAAGGAAAACCAGTTTGATGAGAAGAAAAATTATGATTAGCATTATTACGAAAATCAGTTAAATAATTATGTAGAACATTTTGTGATAACATTAATTTTCGATTTGTTTTTCCTTCTGTTAATTTTGCACGTCTTTCTTCAAAAAATTGAATCTAAATATAAATTAAAACAAAATCAAAAACAATAATATTTCATATAATAATAAAAAAAAAACAAAAAGAAAGTTGATCTATAATACACATACCATTTGTGCACTACAATCATGACGTAGTTGTTCAATTTGTTTTTGACATTTTGATTCACAATTATCATATAAATCTAAGCACTTCCACCAAGCATCACGTGCTTGCCAACATGTTGATAATGATGATGATGATGAATTTGTATTTGTTGTATCCTTTGCACTACTAACCATTGAATTAGCACTCATTTTTTACAGCTAAATGTAGAAGAGGAAAAGAAGATAAAAGAGAAGAGAACAAACGTCTATGAATTATGATTAAGGGCGATAGTAGCAGTACTTCAAAAAAAAAAGAGATGACCAATACAATAAAAAGATTTTTGACGACATCTATTATTAGTTATTAATATATTTTGGACTCCACATTAGTACTGACTGGTTATAATATATCCATTTGTTTATTTGTTGTTTTTTTTTCTTCTTCTTCTTCTTGTTATAGATTTTTGTTCATTTGTAAAGAAAATATTTAATTGGTAGGTGTAATTGAAAAAGTTTAAAAAAAAAAAAACTAATCGAAGATTAGAGTAGACTTTATTTTCATGAATAAAGTCTTAGTATTTTCTTCGAAAATTATTATAAAGATATTCATTAACGAAGGTTATCTTCGTTTATTTATAATATCTTTGCTGTCAAATAGGTCTTATTATAGAAGATATATACACATTAAATTTTTATATTTCTTGTTTGAATCTCTTCGGAGAAATAACTTGAATATATATGTACGTGTGTGTAAATAAATGTATATCTTTTTTTTTGACCTCAATAGCAACATGTTTTATATATTTATTGTAGGATTTATTGATTCATTTGTTTTTATGATTAGATTTGAACGATCATGGCTGAAGTAGTACAACGCCATTTAGAAGATATGTTATCGGAATTTGAACAAGCTAAACGCATTGGCTTGTTTACAGAAGCTGAAATAAAGTATGAAAATAATGAGGATAGAAAAAAGAAAAAATTATAAATTCTAGATTTTTTATTTTAAATTAAATTTTATATGAAAGACAGATTAGATTGATGAATTTTTTCAATAGTAAAAAAAATAGAACAGGATTTTCGTCAAATATGTAGGTTGAGACGATATCGTTTGTGGTTACTATACTTTTGTAGGATGTGTATACCTTCTGAAACTTCAAATATACTTTTTTTTGTTAAGAAAAATAGTTCGGACAAGAAGACGACATGAGTATAAGATCATTCGACGAACAAAAGAAAAAGAATGTTATCTTGATTATATAAAAGTAAGTGAATTTAAATATATTTGTATTATTTCAATAAAACAATTGAATTTAAGTATGAAACTCATCTTCTCAAACTTGTACAACTTCGTCGAGAAGTAAATATATTTAGAATTATTTATCATAAAATTTAAATTATTATTTATAGAAATTAAAATTAGGAAGAATTAATAAGAAAAATGAAATTGATTTATCTATTAAACGACGTATTGAACGACTTTTTCGTGTAAGAGAAGCAAAAAATTTTTTTTTTTTGTTTTATAATGTTCTTCATTTATTTAGAGTGCATGTCATCGATTTAAAAAAGATGTTAATTTATGGTTAACATTTATTGAATTTCTTAAAAAACAAGTAATGAAAAATATTCAAAAAAATTTTTTTCTTTTATTCTTCATTTTTTTTCACAGCATGATTATTCCACAGCATCAAGTACGTTTACATCTGCATTACATACACATGGCAATAAATATTGTAAGTAGCAAGTTACCGGTCCGATTTTTTTATGAGTCCGATCGAACTGTACTTTGACGCTCGTAATGAAATTTTCTAATCGAAATCGGAGAGACACATCGTACACATTTCTCAGACACCTAGAGCTAATCGAGTCCGGTACCAATCCGACGGACTTTAGTTCAAGTCCGAGTCTGGAAAGACTTAGAGTTTCCTAATTAAAAGTCGTATAAATTTTTTTGAAATTAGGGTTATGGATAATGGCAGCCAAATTTGAATTTGAAACTATGGTATCTCCATCATCAGCTCGTTCATTATTTCAACGTGCTCTTCGTATAATGCCACAAGAAAAAAAACTTTGGCTTGAAGTAAAATTATAGAATAGAAAAGATTTTATTAATTTAATTTATTTAATTTATTTAATAGTATTTTAAATTTGAATTATTGTATGTTGAATTAGTACAAAAACGACAAGCAGTACTTGATCGAACAAAACAAGAAATAGAAAATAATGAAGAAGATGCTGTATTACAAGGCAAAATTGTTGAAATTGTTTTTCATAATGCACAAACAACCATCGAAAGTAAATGATAAGTTATATAGAATTTCTTTTTTTTTTTGAAATTTCTTTTTTTTTTTTGTAGATGATCCAACTTTTATTTGTTCATTTGTTAAAATTCTTTATGAATTTTCACAATTTTCATTTGTTGAATCATTCATTGATCACATTTATTCAGTGTAAGATTACAATAGAAAGTATTTGTTTATTATGATTGTGTTTCTTTTTTTTGTTAAGTTTAAAAGAAAAGTATTCTTCTAATGCTCTCGCTCAATCATTGATAGCTCAACGTCCATTGATCAATGAACGTAAAATGATTGATGAAGCAGCTAAAAAAGAACAAGACGTTAGTAAGAAATTTTTTTTTTCAAATTTTACTAAAAATATAATAATTAAATTAACTTAGCTTTTATGATTGCTATACTTGAACAACAAGTTAGAGAAAATTATGAACAACAATTAAATAATTCAACTATTAATAAAAGTAAATAGATCCATTTTAATTTCTTAAGTTTGTTTTTTTTTTTTTATAATGATATTTTTTCTAGATGAATTATGGAATTTATATCTTGATTTTTGTCTTCAACGTCTTAGTCAAGCATCAGATACAAATAAAACTGAGGTAATTTTCTTTTACTAAAAAAAGAAAATACAGTTTAGCAAAAAATTGTGTGATATTCAACAATAAACAAAAACCTTTGAATCTCGAGTAGTATGTGTACTGTAGGTTTCGGAATTTTGTATGAACATAATATGTTAAGAATATGGATCAAAAAGTATGACTTTATCGTGATTGGTAAAGAATAAATATAGGGTAGTATAGAATCTGCAGCAAGGTATTTTTCCTTCCTTCCTTTATAATATAATGCTCATAGTTCAACAACAGTCACAAATATCAATTAGTCGATCGAATTAGCTCATTTTTTAGATCGAGAAACATGCTAGACTGGCTCATAGATCCATATAAATATATCGAGAATTAAAAGTATTTTGATTAAAATCAATACAAAATAATCTTTCTTTTTTTTTAAATTAAAAACCTTATAGCAAAAAACTTGATGTTGTTCTTAATAAATTTCTTTCGATTTGAATAATTCAGAGTGAAATCGAGTCATTGATTATTTCCTATTTGAATGAAAGGTCAACAAAATTATATTTGAGATCTGATAATAATAATATATGATTAATGAAAATTTTCTCATTATCTATTCGAAAGATATTATTAAAAATTTCTATTTGATTAGCTAACTAGAATTATATCAATACAATAGGAGATAACTTCTTATGAATATATTTTTCATCATATAGACTAATAATTTCTCAAAGATTCTATTTGCAAGATCAGTTCAATAAATGAGATTCGACAATTATTCGTCTATTATCTATATAACGAGATAAAAATATTATCTATTAATCAATCTAGTGAAATGTATTCATAATTATTTCATAAATAGTTAAAATATTTACATAAGAGTTTATCTTCTTTTAAATTTATTTAGCATATTTCTACGTGTGATAGAGTATTCTCATTGGCGAGTGAACAAATTTCTTTAACATCTGAACGTTATTTAGAATGGGTAAGATACGAGGATCCTTTCCTTATTTTTTTTGTTACATATAATTTATTTTTTTTTTTTAGGTCTCAATAGTTGATCATGATCGAGCAAAAGTTGTTATTCAAAAAGCGACTGACCACTATCCGAATGATGCTTCTTTGTGGAATAAACGTTTGTCATTATTGATTGAAGAGTCTACTGATTGCAAAAAAATAAAAAAAGAATTTAAACTCACTTGTCAAAATTCAGATGTCAAAGTAAAACATCTTTTATATTAAAATTCTTAAGTTTTATCTTAAAATCTTTTTTTTTTTTTTATAAAGAAATCTTCTCTAATATGGAATACTATAATTGACTACGCACAAGAACATGATCACAAATGGACAGAAGAATTATTTGAAGTAATAGAAAACAGCTATAGCATGAAAGTCTTAGTACAACATATTCGTTCATTGGTCAGAATTAGAAGTAATCAGTCTTTTTTGTTTTTGCTGAATATTGAATTCTGTACGAAATGAAATATTACAATAAGTGAAATCAAATCTATATATTCGCACTAAAAAGTTAATTTCGATAGAAATTGATATTGGCCAAAAAAACACGTTGTTCGAAACTGTTTTGCATTTAGTCGAAATATAAAATCGATCAAAACA